AAGATCAAGAAGAGGAACCGCTCGAGGGACCGCAGGCGCAAGGTAAATAGCCTTCGGCTTTCTTCCGTTATCTCTGCAAAATCTGAGGAGGCACATCACAGACGCATTAACCAGACATGCACAGACTGGTTTGTAGATCGTGCTGCAGCTGCATTAGTCTGAGATTCATTCAGCCAGGAGATGCAGGAGGAGATGCAGGAGGAGGAGGAGGAGGGGGCTCAGTGGGGACTTGGAGATGATTGGTTAAGTAAGCGCTTGGCTCTTCTGTGACTCGAAAGCATGCTTTATTCTTTTGAAGCTGATGTCATTTACATCCGAGGCTGCAGAGTGAGCAGTGCACCCTATGCCTCTGTTCTGTTTGCATGCTTTATGTATTCAGCTGCTATGAAGGCAACAGGGAACCTTCGACACACTCTATTGTTTGGTTGATCCTCTTTCAGCACACTAGTATTTCCACAAGCTCTGCACATGCGTGCGTGTGTGCATGGGTTTGTGTGTGAGTGAGTGTGTGTGATTATTCCGTAAGCATCTACCTGAGCTCTTTGTATGCAGGTCCAGTGCTAGAGTATGTGCACAATCCTTCAGAGACTTCTTTTGCTTCCCCGTTTCTTTTGCTTCCCCATCAATGCCTTTATACTGTAAAAGCAGAGCTGCTTGGGATACGCTCTTTTCAACTCTTCACTAGCAAGATAAAGCCTGATGTTTTCTGTGCATGTGACTGGAGGAAGGAGTCCACGGCGACTGTTATGCTCAGACTAGATTGATCTGTCAGGCTAGCATTTATCACGCCAGCACTCCACTACGCGAGCAGACAGAGCTCCGAGGGCGGGGTGGGTGAGGAATGTCACTGCTGTACTAATTAACAGTCTCACACACATGCAGCCACTCAACACACACGGGAAGCGAAAGCAATTTAAAGACATGGATTTTTCCATCGTCAGTATGACTCCAGATATCACAGTAGCCAGGCAAGACCTTGATTAAGATTAGTCTCATTTATTAGCATATCTAACTATGCTAATGTTGTCATGGTGCAAGAACTTGCATGACATCCTTGGAATTTTAATGTTCAACATTATGTATTTCCAGCCACTGTTATTATCCCACCACATACACACTCACACACACTGACACCATCTTGGAACAGAATTGGCTTGTGCTAAGCTTGTGAAAATCATACTAATGCTTAGCAGAGTGTGAGGGGTGAGAGTGTAGGATCCAAGATGGCCGCTACTACAGTGCTGAGCTATGCAACAGTGTGTCATGCTGTGCTAGAAACCATATAAGTATACAAGTCTCTTTGAGACACCGAACAACTGGGACACAGTTTGAGGCAACTGTGTGATGATTAAACAGTTTGCATATGGAGATTTCATCACCGGTGCAAAACTGAAGAAGCAAACTTCAGACACAAAACATGTCCCAACTCAACCCTACATTTAGGGTAAGGGGGTGCATTTTATTTTTAGATGTTTAAAGTGGCAATACTTGCTGCTTTTGTAAAAAAAAAAAAAAAAAAAGAAAAGAAAAAACTATTAATTACAATTGTGTGCAAAAGATTGCAACCCTAAGGTTATTAAAAATGTATCTCTTCAATTTACAAAACAGTAGAATTTGAAAAATGAAATGTTGGTGCAAAATCAACAATAAAATGGTACAAGTGAAGTACAAAATGAGATAAGTGAATTCGAAAAGCTGGTCAGAGTATATAAAAGAAGCTGAAGGTGGTTAAAAAGACAAATCCTGCATCAGCTGGTATAAATGTGCTAGCCCCCCTGTCTGTCAGAGATAAAAAGATAGAAGTGAGGCTGGTGCTGATTTCACAGAGTGACAAGCCCCTTAGATTTGATTGATATTTTTCACACACACCTGTAACAGGTCATCAGCAGTGACTGAGATGGCGCATAGAAAATACAGTCAAGGCTTTAATGAACATGAATGAGGTGGATTATTTACTCTAGCATCCTTCTTTTTTTTCTTCTTTTTTTTAAAAACCAAACTGCCTTTGGAGGAGAAACTAAAAGTAGATAATCACACACTGTCATTCAAAGTACAAATTACACAAAAGGACAGATGACAGATCTGTACGTTTAGTGTTTTTCAGTTAAAATAAAAGAGTTACAACTTTTCTGTTTACCTTGTTTAGTATTCAGAGGAAACACAGCATGATGCAAGTTGAGTCTTATGGTCTTGGAACACTTACAATATTAGAAATCACGAATGCAGCTGTCTATCTGCCTTAAATGTGTGTGTGTGTGTGTGTGTGTGTGTGTGTGTGTAATAGTTTTCCCCACATCATTCTTATTTATGCTATGATGAGATCTTGTAATGTAAAGCATTGCTCAGTACTAATAGTTTCATTGTCGAGCTGTTGACAGATACGGTATGAGATTTTAGCTCTCATCTAACCAGCAATCACTGTTTATAGCATTAATACAGTAATGTTACGGTAATGGTACTGTAATTTTTAAATAGTGTGCAAAACCTATGTACAGGTATCAAATTCCATTGCCTTGGTTAAATGAATACGTTACACAAGAAACAGCTAAAGATTAAGCTAAGATTAAGTGAAGTGACTTGTGTCCAAGTATGGTGACCCATACTCGGAATTTGTGCTCTGCATTTAACCCATCCAAGTGCACACACACCAGAGCAGTGGGCAGCCTTTTTTGCTGCAGCACCCAGGGAGCAGTTGGGGGTTCAGTGCCTTGCTCAAGGGACTCACCTCAGTCGTGGTATCGAGGGTGGAAGAGAGCACCCCCCTCTACACTCCCCCCACCTACAATCCTTGCCAGACCTGAGACTCAAACCCACAACCTTCAGGTTATAAGTCTGACTCTCTAACCATTAGGCCACGACTGCCCCAAATTACACATGCAAAAAAACAACAATGAAAAACAACAATGAAAAAAAAACAGTGACACAATCAGTCACAGTCCTTAATACCACAGAAAAAACATGAAGGAAACAAGCTATATGAGCTATCTATTTAAATAAGCTAACATTGGTAAGCTTCACTTACCCTGCTTTGTTATAAAAAAAAAAAATCAAAAGAAATGAAAATGAAAATGGCAGATGAGATTTGCTGCTTCAGGTCAATTCTTGAGTCAGTTCCTGGGTTTACAGTATAGTCTGAAGTACTGTAAAGCTTTTCCAACTTGGCTACAATATCATATTGGAAAACACATTTAGTACTTAGTATTGTACAAGTATTTTACTGGTTTGAACACAATATTGTACTGTAGAAATTAGAGAAATTCATTACAGTGTGGGCAAACATGTTAAAAGAGAATATTTATATATTCATTCATGGCCAAATATACATTATTTGAATGTTTTGTTAATAAAAAAAAAAGCAACAGCTGAAATCCAACAGCTGAAACTTATCCCTTCAGTTATCTCAAAATCATGGCTTTTTGCTTTTTACTTTGAAATAATGGAAGTGGTTTTGATGTTAACAGCAACTAGTGGAGTCAACTAGTATAATTTCTGAGTGCTTTATTCCACACCTAGGTGATTGCTGACCATCAACACCTTAAATAATGGTTTAAGCTAATATTTATCATTATAAGATTAAATTTCTCATTACAACCTCTGAAATTAAACTAACTGAACTAATTTTAACATTTTGGTTCTAAAATTTTGGTGGAAAAAACTTGCTAGCCAAGCTAACTAGGCATGCTTTTACATCTCCAACGCCTCTGAACCCAACCCCACCCCAGTGAAATGTTTTGACAATTCCCCTGATTATGTTCTATTAGATTAGATTAGACAATTGTACAATTGTCTCAATTAGAGGACACAAATAAAGTGGAAACCATAAGTAATTGTACATGCCACCAAAGTGAAATGGCCATGAGGTTCAAACTGATAGTCTCAGCCTCAGACACTCTGTCTACTGGGAATCTTTTGTACACTTTTTTGGCCACAAGTTTCAGAATCTTGGGTGCAATTTGATTGGCTCGCTTCACTTTTATGTTGACACACTTCCATGTATACACACGTATGTTGCTGGTTTATGATGGAAAACTAACATTTGAACCCTGTGACACGATGGTGTCTGAAGCAAGAAATAGTCAGTGGATTTATATCATGTTTTAAGTCATTGCCCTTCTTCAAGGTGAAGCCTCCACTGAGATGCCATACTTCACAATTCACCTGCTGGCATTGACAGCCACCTCATCAATAAAGACAAATGAGACAGTTCCACAAGCTGCTAAAGATGAGACCCAATCCACATGTGTCGTAGATGAAGGATTCTGCTTTGAATTATTAACAATCTTTTTATTCTTCACACTTTCCTCATTCCAGCACTACAAATCCATAAAACTCTGACAAATCCACCACCTTTTTAAATTTTTTTTTTTTTATAACTCTGTTGTGGTGGTGTTTTTTTTTTTTTTTTTTTTAATAATTTTTT